TTACTGTAACTTTGTAATACATTCTGCAACCAGGAAACCAGAACCCTTTGTTCTTTTTTCCCCAAGATTGTTTTGGCTACTCTGACTCCTTTGCATTTCCATATGAATTTTGGGATCAACTCATCCATTTCTGCAAAAGAGCCCACTGGGGTTGTGACAGGGATTGCACTGAATCTGTAGACCAATTTGGGGAGCGCTGCCACCTTAACAATATTAAGTCTTCCATTCCAAGAATGTGGGATGTTTTTCTGTTTATTTAAGTCTTTAATTTCTTTCAAAGATGTTTTATAATTTTCAGTGTATAAGTTTTCCACTTCGTTTGTTAGACTTATTCCTAAGTATTTTATTCTTTTTGATGCTAACTGTAACTTGAAGTGTTTTCTTAATTTCACTTTTGAATTATTCTTTTTGGGTTACTAATATATAGAATTACAACTGATTTTGTGTTTTGATTTTATATCCTATCATTTAGAAGATACTTCTGATAAGGTATAAAACATGACTTATAGGAATTCCCTTTTTACTGGTAAAAGGAATAAATAAACAGGTGTATAAACCAGGGATTTGTTAATTGTCCTGCTGAACACCTACAGATGTTAGATAGAAATTTATTTTTAGCTATAATATGCTTGAAATACACACACACACACACACACACACACACACGCACACGCACACTCAGAGTAATAATCCATTTTTCTGGCTGTCATATCTTAGATAACCTGAACATTCTGAAAACACATCTGTGAACTCAAAAATGATTTGCAAGAAAGTTTCAAGCCCTTCTGTCTGACATTTATCTTTTTCCTTTTTTGACCTTGCAAACTTCTTCTCATCCTGTAAGACCTAGCTTAAATGTCACACCTCCTGATCCACCCCCAGAACAAACCCTCTTCTGGCAGAACCCTCCTGTTTCTGGGTTGTATAGTATGCATCCTATAACGAAGCGTAATTATTCATTTCCATACTCTTATCTTTTCCAAGTCTATGGCCTTCTTGGGGGCAGGTTCAAGGAGGAAGTCCCCACTTCAGTCTTTGCAATTCCCAGCACCTCAATCCACTGATGTCCTGGCTGGCTCCAGCCAGCCTGGGATTTGGTGACTCAGATATCACTGCTCTGTTCCCACCTGCCACATCACCAATGTGGCCAGCCAAACTGGGAACTCAGGCACTGGGGAGAGCATTAGATGGCTACATAGCCTCCTGAGTCCCAGCACACTGTATTGGCAGAGGATTTGGGACTATGCCTCTGCCTTTCTACCCTGACTCACAAATCTAATCTTCAGTTGACCTGGGAGACTTGCCTGGAAGAACAGTCCTCTCTAGGCTTGAAGGCTGCCCTGAGCATGGCCTGGTCAACTTGGGCTGGCATACAGTGGGCACTTTTGAGGACTCTCTGCTGCATGAATGAACACAAGCCTACTCATTTTACTTCATCAGCCTCAATCTCTCTTCTCAGAGCAGTGGTTTGACCTTACACATACTACTTGGGTATCTGATTTCATTTGATACCTTTAATTTCGCTAGGGTCACCATCAGCAGTGCAAAGACTGAGACAAGATGATCAGATAACTGGGGCAGCCAGTAGTCACTGACAAGAATGAGGAGTGACCATAGAAAACAGAGGTGATCACAAGAGAGAACACAAGAAAAGCACCAAGCAGAGCAGCACACCCATGTAGGGGTCATTTAGTTTGGGAGCAAAAGGCTCTCTACACCTCAAAAAGCCCAAGCATATCACTGAGTGCCAAGGCCAAACACACAAGCAAAATGGCTGGTAAAATTCAATGAAAGAACAAGGCAAGATCCCCACAATTCTATAGCCCTAGAGGGCACCAATACGTCAAAGTTTAGTTCAGTACCATGTTCAAAACAGGGACCTGAGTCATCAAGGTTATGATACCTTTTATAAAAGCTTTATATCCATGAAATGATATTGACTATACTTTATCAACAGGCTGCCAAGAACAAATACATTTCAGAAACATTCTTTCTAAAAAATGCAAATTTTCTCACTGATGTCAGAGCTTAAAGTAGTATCAGTTAGCTAGACAGCAAGGGCCACCTCATTCCCCAGTGATATCAGATGGCTAAGGCATCATGGCACGCATAGACACACATCGCTTACAATGAACCCAAGTACTTTACAGCTCAGGTATTCAGGGACTTGGAGAGGGCCTGATTATGAGTTTTACAGTAAGAAGTTCTTTTGAGAGAAGCAACTTTGAGGCAAAGATGGTAGCTCTAAGACAGCACTCAGATCCTGAGTTAGCCAGGTCCAAACCAGACAAGCTCCACCCCCTAAAATTAAACTAAATTTCCCAGATTTCTCTTTGGAGTCTGATTCTCTTGGTACCTTGGCTACTCATCCAGTTCCTGTTCTGTGGTTCAAATTTCACGTTCATGATTCTTACTACTCTGTTTACCTTTTGGTGTCTTTATTTGGTATGTGGTGGCTGACTCTGGCTTTGTCCCACGATCCCACCTCCTGTCTCTCAACTCCTGACATTCACCCCTGGCTGCTCTAGCGCTGGCTCCTATCCACTTGATCTTGTTTTACTACTTCTTTGTTCTTTGCCAGGCCATGCTGGGAGGTCAAGGGACATCCACATAATAATAAATAAAGTATGTTACACTGGGCTTTGCTTAGCTATTTTGTACATGACTCCAAATATATCCATCTTGTTTGAATTAGATTCCCTTGGGGTGGTACTTTTTGATTTGACTTTTCCCGAAGAGAAACAGTATATACTGTCATTGGATAGCCATTTCATAATGAGGTATATCCCATGCCCAAAGAGTAAGATGGTTCAAATCCTGGCTGGTTATATTCATTCAGAAATAGAAGCCCTAAATGTCAGATGTAAATGAAGATAGACAGTTAATTGTCCTCTGGGATCTAAAAGGGCAGACTTAGCCATTACGGAAGAGGTTCTCAAACTTTCATGTGCAAAGAGTTGGGAAGCCAGTAAAATGTAGATTCCTGGGCTCTACCCCTAGAAAGTCTAATTCAGAGATCTGGGTCCAAGAATCTGCATTTTAAACAAGAGTCTTAGGTAATCCTGATGTAGTTAGTCCTTGGACTACCCTTTGAGAAACACTATATCACAGCAATGAGAAATCTGACAAACGTGGGGTAAGCACAGTAATTAAAAGATCCCACCAATCCTTCCTTTCTTAGAAGCTATGATGCACCTTGCCTAAGGCACGTCACCTGGCCAACTCTTTCCTAATACTCTTATTCCCAATCATCAGCTTGGTTCCAAGATCAACTTAATGTTTGTTTTAAAAATATACGTGAATTTCCCAAGTTTCCATAAAAAAGATATTTGAATGTTTTTAGAGTAAATAGGAATAGATGTCTAAGTTATAGCTTTCTCTCAACTGAGGAAGAAGTGCTATAAAGAAAAATATATGATTTAAGCTACAAGCTATTGTCCTTCATCACACATACCTTCTCTTCTTAGAACATCTCTCTATGATGATTTCAAAAGTCTCAAGATTTTACCCAAATCAAACAAGTAAAATATATTAAATTTAATAGCAATCATCGCTACTTTAAATAAGGAATGAAAACATCCATTTGATCCAGAAAACCTTCAAATGAGCTCTCCAGCAATACCTGTATTACTGGTGAAGGTATCTGTACCTGAACATTCTGATGCCCAGGAGCCCGGCAGACCAAGAACAGCAGAGCCCAGGAAAGACGGCAGGCTGTGCACTTGACTGGGGAGGCCATTTCCCTGGGCACGTCCCTAACCAATCCTGAAGGGGGAGCTCAGGAAAATCTGTTTAATTGGGAGGATTCTGATGGCCATAGGATGCTTTGGGAATCTAAGATGACAGAAGATATTGATGAGCTATGAGATCCAGGAGGCCTGATATTTGAGATAATGGGGCCTCCATTTGTTTCAGGACGATGCCTTCATTTTTGCACTAACATGGTTTATGGCTTGCAAGGGATATGTGGACTGACTGATGCAGACATTAAGCATGTTGGAGCTCCATTCTTACTATTATTGTGATATGTGTATGTATTTGTTTTTTTCCTAGGAGGATCTTTATTTTTTCTCCCAAATCTCATAACTGGTTATACAGACATTTAATTGAGAGGAATAATTATGAATTACAGTATTTTTTCTTTCAAACTTTCCTACCTGAATCATTTATTGCCGACATTACAAGCATTTTAAATATTGTAAAATTAAAGTTTAAAAAATAAACATTGCTAGCAGGCAAGCTCAAGCCCAGAAAAACTCAGTTTTTAAAAAACATTAATGTTTCTTAATCGGAGTCTTGTATACTATAAGACTGCTAATTTACAGGAAAAGAAAGGAATTTAAAGTCAGCAACAAAAGTAGTTGATTGAGAATGAAATTCAGGTAGCTTAACTCCATAAAGGCAAAGGGACAATGAAACTCGGATACGGATGATCAGAGGTAGGATGACTTAACATGTGAGAATACTAGTTAAAAGCACAAAAAGTTAGGAGTATGTTCTGGGGAAAATGCCTAATTAGGAAATTAAAGCTGAACTGTTGACCTAGAGCTTCTGAACACTTTTGTCACTCTGCTATGCTTTCGGTAAATAAAGCAAGGAGGACAAATTTTATCCAGCTTATGTTTGCTGTTCAACTCTGACCGTTGCCTGCTGAATGACTTTAAATATGTGTTACGGAAAAAATGATACCACTTTAATTTCCGGCTCCATCCCCATCTGGCCAGAGAGGGGATAAATTAATATTATCGTGTTTTGTCTTTAGGGCTTCTGATGCCCCCAAGGACCAGCCTGTGGGACAGTCTGTTTTGGCAGAGAGTCTCGGCTGGAATCAGAAGAGCAGGATTCAGGACAAGGCCAGTTCACGTAACACAGCTCAGAGCCATAGAACACCACTTGCTCCGAGGATGTTGGGCATTGTGCTTCATTAGGAAACAAAATATAAGCTTTCCACACCATTAGGAATGACTTTAGGAGTGAAAGCACATAAGACGATGCCTCACCTCATCAACAATGCACTGCAGAAGCTGGAGAGGCTGCAATGGGAAAGAAGAAAGGAAAAAGTATTAGCCTCTATGCAATATCTTTACAGTGGAGTGGAAAGAAAAAATCATTAATGCAATAAAATATAGCAAGATTAATCAACAACAGCAAACTCTTATAAAAACATTGATGCTCAGGATGTTCTATTATTTCTAATGGTACCTAATCTAATACAGGCAGTTAAAGGTTTGCATTTTCTTCAAAATGCAATTTGCCAAGTTTAAAACAAGGCATTCAAGCATGCAAAGGAAGCAGCCATCAGGAAAAAGAAAAGTGAATTTTTTTCTGAACTCATAAAGCTTACCATTAAAGATCCCTGGTTTTTCTGAATCTGAAAAAAGGCAATATGTAATTAGCATGTCATAATCAAAATGACTCACTTGGACACATTATGATCACTGAGAGAAAATTATTGCATTGCTGGTGGCAATTTGTGGGCATGTGTTAACACAATTTACATAATGAAAATACACAAATGTTAATAGCTCGCTTCTCATTTATAGGCGAAAGTCAGCAGAATGTTAATTTCACACAACACTTTTTAGTACCCTCCAGGTTGTATTAGAATAGGGAGAAAAACCATAATCCATTTCAAAAGGCTGTTTACGATTCAGATATAAATAATGTTTTATATTGCTAGATTGTGAACACTGGGCTTAATGTTGCAATCATTGCTAATGTTATGAAGCTCACTCTTTTTAAATTAAAAACCGATTTATTTAAAATTGAAATTAAATCATAGTCAGAAATTAGAATTTTGGATTCCTGCCAGTGTCTGCTCACAACCCCCTATTTTGTGAAGAAAACTTTAATTATGTGGTTGAAGTATTTGCCTCTGACCCAGGAGTGGGTAAAGACTCCACCTCTTCCAAAGTTCCTTCAGCAGGGCAGCAATGCTTTCTGGGAAAATCAAATTCGTGCAAGTTTTAACACTGGTTTTCAGGGGATAAGAGCAGAGTCAAAGAAGATGCCTGTTCTGGAGGCAGCTGCTCACACAGCTGACACCGATAAACCACATCTCTTAGAAAGTTACTAAAATGTGACACCAAATTAATAAAACATCCACTTAGTAGTTAAAGTATTAAACACTTCAATGTGTGCCCCCCAACCAAAAAAAAAAAAAATTGCCTGCAGTTATTACAAACTCAATGAAAATGTCGTCCCAGGTACTAAATTTCCTAAGGAGGAAAATTTCAGGAACCAAATATAACTACTGAGGAGACAGTTGTTTGCTGTGATAACTGTGCTTCAACCAGCGGGTAAAATATAGGTAAACTAGTTAATAGTCCCTTATATGCTTTTTTTTTTTTTTTTTTTTTTTTTTGCGGTACGCGGGCCTCTCACTGTTGTGGCCTCTCCCGTTGCGGAGCACAGGCTCCGGACGCGCAGGCTCAGCGGCCATGGCTCACGGGCCCAGCCGCTCAGCGGCACGTGGGATCTTCCCGGACTGGGGCACGAACCCGCGTCCCCTGCATCGGCAGGCGGACTCTCAACCACTGCGCCACCAGGGAAGCCCCCTTATATGCTTTTAATAGTTCTTTCACATACACGTTCTCATTAGATCTCACAACCACCCTGAGCTTGGCAGGGATGGTCATCTCTAGTCTATGATGGGAAAAACCGGGCCTCTCAGAGGTGGGCAGGCCCAAGGCCACAGGAGCAGGCTGTGGTTGTGCTGGGGCCTCTCCCGTGCTCCTTTCTCTCCAGCATCATATCTGCCTACAATCACAGCATTCCTTAAAAACCGCTGGATTTGCATGTGTTTATACCTGGCATGGTAAAGTTGATAAATGATCAGTTTTGGCACGTGGTTTATTCTCAACTAGACTGTTAAGCTCCTCAAGGGCAGAAGCCATGTTTTTGCATTTCTTTTGCATCCCTGTGGCTGATCAGCAGACCCTTCCACCGAGTGCTAGATGTTTTAAAAAGTGCTTTCCCATGTATCATCTCAGCTGAGCACGGTACCCACTCCTTCCTGCTCTTGACTCCTCATCATGCCCTCCCCAATCACCACTCCCTGAAACTTCCATCTCAGGTTGACTGGCTCTTAGTCTACTTTGATAGTTCCTACTGAATGTTGTCCTGATGCTTCTTCTTGTTCCTCTAGCCAATGAGTACTTCTGTGTAAGGGTCTGTGGGGAAAGATTTACATTAAAAAGGAAAACAGAGCTGTTAACTACCACCCTGGAGTGGTTAGGGTTTTAGTTAACAAGCCACAGCATCTTTAAAAAATCATGAAAAAACCCAGGTAAATTCTCCTATGAGATATCTTTGGTGTTTGCTTTTACAGTTGGTCCTTGATCAACATGGGTTTGAACTGTGCAGGTCCACTTATACGTGGCTAGTTTTCATTAGTAAATACTACAGTACTAAATGGTCCATGGTTGGTTGAATCCATGGATGTGAAGGAACCTCAGATACTTGGAAATTGGGGGCCAACTAAATTGTATGCAGATTAACCCCCTCATTGTTCAAGGGTCAACTGTATTTTTTTAAAGTACACACAGATAAGCACCGCCTCCCCCAAACATTCTCAGTAAGATATATCTACTTCAACAGGAGAGTTACTTTTTCTAATGTACACAGAATTAGAAAGCTGTTTTTGACATCAAAGAGAATGTTTTTCATAAATTTCCAATAGTCAGGGGGATTACAAATTCTCTGAGGAAAACATGTAGCAAACATTTTAAGTGACATGTTTCAAAATGAATTCAGGAATGGATTGTGAGACACTGTTCCCAGTAACATGAGTTGCGTGAACTAAATGAAAATTTCCTCATAAACCGAGACCTTAGAAAAAGTTTCCATCCTGCCCTAATCTGTGGGTTAAAAGCATGGTTTAAGACAGCTTAAAATTGTACTATTTTAACACTTGCTCTTTACTACAAGAAAAGGAGAAACAGCAATATCAAAGTCTGTTTTATGATCTTATAACCATACTGTTATACTGTTTTGCCCAGGTTTTTAAAGGAGACGCTGTTATCAGGTTTTATCACACACTTTTGATAGCAACACACTACATGAAATCATCTTCATAAATTTTGTATTAAGGTAGCAGTGCCAGTACATGAAATTGATTCAAAATGCTTAAGATACTCACTTTTTAAGTTACACAATGCAGTGACATATCTTCTTTTTCGCAAGAATCTGATGATGCAACATCATTGTAATTGATTCATTTCTCAATTAAATAAAGCTACTGTGCTTTTCTTTATATGAATGCCACATAGACCATAGAGTTAGATGTATTATCTCCTTCCTCTGTCTCAAATATATGGCCTTAAGTGCTATATTCTGTTCCTCTGTTAATTCCACCAGAAAAATTTAATGTCACGGTCATATTTTTCAATTCTGAACTGCCATAAACTCAACTGTATTTATATTAGGCATATTTTTCACTGCTAAACTCTTCGTTGTTTACCTTTTTCAAGATCACATTACTGTACAGGCGCAGCAATCATAAAACAGATCCAAACAAAGTCAGCCTCCAGTCGTGGCCTCTGCTTTTGCACACAGTTCATGAAAAAGTGAAGCCCCTAGTTTTGAAGCACATTAAAAGGGGTACTAAGGGTCCTCGATATAAAATGTTAGCTTCGTGAATGCCTCTCTTTATTCTGGGTCTGCCTTGCAAACGCTTAGCTGTGAGAGCAGAGTTCAGAGGGACACAATAACATTGTTAGGGCTCATGTACTGCCTGCACCTCCCAACATATGAGATGCTGTTTATAACTAACTTGTCCAAGTCCACCTTCCTGCCTGTACATTTTGCTTGCGTTGAGCTTTCTATGTCTAACTGATACTTGGGGACAAAGAACAGAACGATAATTCCTCCAGTCATAGGCTTTGCTCATCAGTCTCTAGAACTAGTAGCATTTTGAAACACTATTTAGACAAACCTCTTCCCTCTTCTGGGCATAGATTTTTTTTTTTTTTCTTTCATCAGCCATTAGGTTCAAGATTTTAAGCCACACTAACAGGGGATAGTTATGCCTCATTCTAATATAAGACAGACCCTTATGTGTTTAAATGGGGAAGAATGACTTCACAACAGGCAGGCCTAAAAATCAGTTAGGTCTGAAATTTAGGGTATTACTGCAGTCATATTTACCTTGTATTTCCTTGCAAGGGCCATACAACAGTTGAGTTGGCAATTAAAAAGCTCCCATAATATGACTTGTGACTTGGGAAAGCAAACCTGGAAAGGAAACTGCCAATGCAAAAGTTTGCTCATGGGGCCTCAGCTATTTAATCAATGACTCTGGTGATAAAAATCAACTTTGGAAGGCTCACATTACGCTTCTATCTCTATAAGGGTACTTTTTACACACACAGTGGTAAAGCAGACCTTGCTACCAGTGCTTTTATATTATATTCAGAAGCACAATCAGAAAACTGAAATGAATCCACCTATGTAAAACTTAGAGAAGACACCAGCTATAGCTTTCATTTTCTTTTACTCTCTGAAATTATGGCCTGCCCTGCAGCTCTTGTCTGAGAGATTAATGTGTGACCTGGGTCAGATCTTCCAATATCAGTTGACAAATTTTCTCTTTACATATTTACTGCTTTTCAAGCTTGTGTTATTTTCTCTTAAATAGAAAACAGAAATATAAAATTAAATTATATGGTTGGGATTTTAAAAGAATATCGTTTTTATTTGTTGTGCTCCTGGCATCACATTCTAGCTTTCAATGTTGAACTCTATTCTCTTTTTAAATTTCAAATTTTAGAAACTGTAGTTATTTTGCAAGGACTCTTTTTTTTTTGGGGGGGGGGGTCCTTTTTTGGCCGCACCACGCAGCATGCGGGATCTTAGCTCCCCGACCAGGGATCAAATCCGTGCCCCTTGCATTGGAAGTACGGAGTCTTAACCATTTGAACCCTCCAGGGAAGTCCCAAGGACTCTCTTTTCAAATCAGATTCATTAAGCTATAACTCTGGCTAAATATAAACAGGGATTATGGCAAACTGAGATTTTATATTCAAAATGAAGAATAATGACCTAATTTTTTTTTTTTTTTTGAGATGGAAGGGACCTCCAAGATCTACTCATTTTGCTGTTAGGGAAACTGACGCTCAGAGGGGAACAGTGCCCAAGGCCACAGATAGAACCTGGCTTAGAACTGACTGCTGACTCACAAGGCTCCCTAGTATGGGGACAAATGCATAAACTTTGGAGTCAGAAAGATCCCTGGAATTCCAGTCAGATCCCCATGGCTTCAGAAGCTCCCTCCCTTCACTAGGCTTAGGGCTCTTGTCTAGAAAGTAAAGGATGAGCTAGAGGGGCCCAAAGGCCCCCCAACCCCCCAAGCTGCCCATTCAAGCACCATGA